AACCCTCCCGGCCCCTCTGCTGTCCTTTTCCCTCCCCTCTGCCTCACACCTTGACCTGCTGAGTGGCCGCAGAGGCTCTTTGCATGCCGATCAGAAGTGACTTGTATGCTCCCCATCCCCCACTTCTTTGCACACGTTACCTTGCTCCATGCTCTTCTGCACCTTTTCTTCCTGGGCGCTGGCTAGAGGTCCTTAAAGCAGCCCCAGGAGCTGAGTTTGCTCATCCGCAATTGCTAGGAGACATCCCACGCCTCAGCAGAAGCTCACATGGCCTCCCTGGGTTGTCAGAGTACCGTTTCCACCACTGACCCCACTCTCCACAGCATCGCCTCAACTTCTCCCCTCCCCATCTCTTTTCCTTCACCCCAACTCTCGGCATCTGTGGCCCCTCCATTATCCTCAAGTACAAAAATGAGAACCACCAATATTTGCTGAAGGAGCTGTCTCCAAATTGTGATCCATGGAAGTGTTTCAGAGGCTCTTCAAATGTTCCATAAGAATGCTATTCTAAAACTCAGTTTGACCCCTAGTTCAACAGAAAACGAGCACTTACACACATTCAGACATGTTCTACAGCACATCGGAACACACCGAGTACAGCCAACAAGGGCCGCCGGTTTAATTTGGTTAGTGCAGACCTCAGATTAAGGTCTGGGTAGATCTTATCCTTCAGTGTGAAATGTGTCTTCAGTTAGGAAGAGTGAAGCTCTTTACTAGGTATCTTTGTGGTGGTGTTTTTTTAAATTCAGGACTTCGTAAGCTTATGTAAAACCATACAAGCAAGTACACTCTGAAGCTTTCAATGATAAGAGAATATATTATGTGGATTATCATGAAAATATTATATAAATGATTGTGGGGCTTCCTGTCTGACTTGTGTGTGTAACACGAAGGAATTCAAGCAGTTGTTTGATATTGTCACTGATGCAAACCGGAATTCCTTTCCACTCCTCCCCAGATGCCCAGATAATGTTGAACTAAAGATCATTCTGTGGCTCTAAGGTAAGCTGTTAACAATCTGTTACCATTCACATCATGTTATGGATGTGATTTAGAATTCCTTGGCTGGGCGCAGTGGCTCACACCTGTAATCCCAACACTTTGGGAGGCCAAGGTGGACGATCACAAGGTCAGGAGTTCAAGATCCGCCTGGCCAACATGGTGAAACCCTGTCTCTACTAAAAATACAAAAATTAGCTGACAAGGTGGCAGGTGCCTATAATCCCAGCTACTTGGGAAGCTGAGGCAGGAGAATCGCTTGAACCCAGGAGGCAGACATTGCAGTTAGCTGAGATTGCACTGCTGCACTCCAGCATGGGTAACAGACTAAGACTCCATCTCGGGGCAGGGTGGGGTGGGGGAATTCCTTAATAATTTGCAGCCAAGCTAAATGAAACCAGGAAGAAAAAGGAATATTAGACAGTGCAGCTGATACAGTAGTACAGCGATGATCTAGGACAGAGGTCAGCAAACTTCTTCTGTAAAGGGCCAAAGAGTAAAAACTTTAGACTTTGTGGGACAGTCTCAAGCAGCCATAGATAATGCGTACATAAATGGTGTGACTACGTTCCAATAAAACTTTCCAGAATCAGGCAGCAGCCTGGATTAGGCCCACAGGCAATAGTTTGCCAGTTTCTGATCCAGTACCGTAGATTTCACTGTGTTTGTGCATCAAAACAGAGGCATCGCTAATAACATAATAAATGTAACTTTCATAATAAATAATAAATAATTGTTAAAATAATAAATAAATGTCAAAAACTTAACAGCCAGGTGTGGAGGTCCATGCCTGTAGTCTCAGCTACTAGGGAAGCTAAGGTTGGAGGATCCCTTGAGACCAGGAGTTTGAGGCTGCAGTAAGCTATGATCACACCACTGCACTCCAGCATGGGTGACGGAGCAAGACAGTGTATATATATATATATATATATATATATATATATAGACATAGACACATTTAAAAAGTCTTTAGCATCTGACTTAGACTAAGTCTAAAAGGCAATAATTTGAAGACAAGAAAAAGAAATAAAAATGAGAATCTTTAAACAATGTTAAAAATCCAAACTTAAAAAATAAATGTATTCATAAGCCATCACTTTAACCTGTTTTATATATTGTCATTCAGTGCCAGATTTGGCTTTTAAAAATAGCTTGTAAGACTATAAAAGCTTGAAAACTGCTCAAGTTTCTCATTGCTGAGAAATTGCTTCCATATCCATGGGGATATCTCAGATGAGATTTGCTCCCTGGTTCCTCATTCAGAAATCGCATTTATTCTGGAGAGAGGCCCCATCAGGCCCCTTCTGAAGAGCGGCTGTGACTCCACGTTTCCCTGCCCTCAGTCGTTCCCCACACAGCGGTGCCCAAGCCTCTGATGGTGCTGATGGGCCGCCCGCCCTCCCCAGCGCTGGGCGTTGGCAGCACTGTATGCCTTCGTCTTGTCTGGGTGCCGTCTATCCCAGCTCCTCCCTGGTGATGGGGAGGGCCATGACAGCAGTGGCCACGATCACCTGGACTCCAGCAGCACCAAGTCAGCACCTCATTAATCACAGGCACTTTCTTCCCCAGGGAAAGCACAGGCAGGGGCGGGAGCCAGGTTTCTCGCTAGATCTGACAGCTCATTTCCCTCTGGGCAAGTCCCATACTCTACAGATTCTTCCAAGCAGCTGGCTGAGCTCACACAGACAAACAGAGAGTCTGGGGAGGGGATGGAAATGCCAGGTCTGCAGAGGACCCCCCCATCTGCACTCCCCGGATGGTTCCCCCATATCTCTGGCTTGCATCCCTCAGAGGCTTCTGCTTCTGGGGTAGTTCAAGAATCTGTTGTACACCTTGCGGAATGAATCCAGACCCTGTCTGAGACTGCTCATGAGACCCCTGAGTGGCTGTAATATGCACAGAAGGAAACAAGCAGTACCTCGAGGTACCCGGAAGTGCCCTAGGATACAAGCCAGGGGCCCCACTAGTTATAGCATGACTGATTCCTATGAACATGTAGATACTGCTGGGGAAGGCGTCATCCTGGAAGCCGTCATTGCTTTTCTTCAGGAAGCATCTTGGTGGAGAAAAAAGTGCTGGGTCTTATGTAGCCAGAGGTTCTGGCGCTTACCCGCTGTGTAGCTGTCTTGAAGCTCCTCAGCCTCTCTGTGCTCAGTTTCCTTATGTGCACATCAGGGGCAACAGGACCAGACTCACTGAGGTTTGGGAAGGACTTGAACCTGTCTTTGCAGTGCAGGAGCATCAGACCCTGTGCTTTACCCTGACCTCAGGGACGCAGCACTGGGGCCAGATGGCACGGGGCTGCAACCGGGAGAGCAGGGTGGTGGTCCCACTGCCCACACATGCCAGAAGGTTGGCTCTCATTTGGGGAGCCCTTGTTACATGGCTGGCCACATTCTAGGGGCCTTCCTCAGCAACCCTGTGAGGAGGGTATCACTGCCAGTCTCATTTTGCAAGTGAGAAGGATGAGGCAGAGACGGAGCAATTAGCCTCTTAAACCAGTAAGTGCCTCGCACAACCAGTAAGAGTCGGGGCTGGGATTTGAACGCAGGGTGGTTCTACACTGTTAAGTACAATAACAAACATCCCCTCTCAAAATGAGGCTCCAATGCCCAGTTCTTCCTTGGAATCCAGGGAACGATTTCTTTACCTCCTCAGGAGGACTCTGGTCGAGGCCTGGGGCTGGTAGGCCCAAGCTGTCATATTGTGGGCAGAGGCCCAGGCCCCAGCCACCCCCAGTCCAGGCAGCAACAGCGATGCCATTTCCGAGGGCTGCCTGTGGCCCCATCCCCTTCTTTATACAGTGAGGAAACTTCGCCTTTCGGAGAAGTGGAAGAGTTACTGCTCCTGGCATGCCAGGCTGGGAAAAGTCGCCTTGGAAATCACAGCTGGGTCCACAGACCCAAACACAGAACGGGATGAGCATCTCCAGGGCCCCAGAAAGAGGCCCTGGAGTCCCCAAGCCTTGGCTGCAACAGAATCAGCATATATTCCTGGGTCCCCAACCCCTAAGAGTCTGATGCAAAGGGCACAGGTGGGTCGGAAAACTCCCTCCCTTCCTTCCTTCCTTCCCCTTCCTTCCTTCCTTCCCCTCCCTCCCTTCCTTCCTTCCTTTCTTCCTTCCTTCCTTCCTTCCTTCCTCCCTCCCTCCGTCCCTCCCTTCCTTACTTCCTACCTTTATCCTCCCTCTAATCCCCAGCTCTCTGGGTGAATGTGGTTCTCCACACCAGAGAAAACATCCAAGGACTTGTTCTTGACCCAATGAGCTTCTAACACTGCACACCCAACCTGTACTGCAGCCTGAACATCTAGCCTGAAGCCACAGCACATACCTGAAGATCTAAATGCATATATAAACATAGGCTGATACCAGGCCTCTCCCCAGACCCATCTGATCACTATCTCGGGAGCCGGTGCCTTGCTCTTGAAATTGCTGAAATTCCAAGGATCGTTGCCCCAACCCTGACATCCTTTCGATCCTTCATCACCTGGGGCAGGTGGGTGAGAAAGGGGACTAAAGACCTGCTGCGATGTCTCTAACTCCTGTGGTTCTGCTCTGACTAGGCACTGGGTGGGCAGTGGGTGGTCTTCAGGCAAGAACCATTGTGTGGGAGAACAGGGTGGAGCTCCGTCTCTCAAGAGGACACAGCCGGACTGGCTTGTGGAGGCTGTGGCCCCTTGAGAGGGGCTGTGGGCCTTTGAGAAGAGCTGTTGTGTCCTTTGCTAGGGCAGAATGGAAACCGATGAACTTGGGGGCAGGGCTGCATTTCAAGGGAGACAGCCCGGGGAGAGCAGGAGCCAGGCGCTGGAACTCAAGGTATCTACTCCTGCCCAAGGCAGGCTGAGGACTTCCACAACAATTTTCGCAGAGGCGTGAAGAAGGCAATGATAACACTAATAATAACAATAATACATTTTAGAGGACGAGCTAAGCAGGTTCATGCAAGACAGCCCAGCATGGCGCCTGGCAAGCATGCTCAGCCACAGCCCCCGTTTCCCACCTGTGCTGAAGGCACCACTTCCGATGACCGAAACTGAAACGCTGTTCTCTCTGAAAGCCAGCATTCATGTCCACTCCTGCGGCAGCCACCCTCCTCCTAGGCGCCACTCTTCCGACCGGAGGGGCGGGCTTGCTTGGCTGGGACCCCGCGAGGCTCCTCCATGAATTAGGTCGAGGCTGCTGGGTTTGTTCCTTGGATCCTGCAGGAGATGATTGAGAAACATGGTCAAAGAGCTTTCTTGGTCAACTTTTTTAGACACAGAACAATCCTGCCTGGTCTGGAGGATCAAGCCCCCAGCTCCTCCCAAGCGGCTTTACTTGGTGGAGGACCTGATTCTCACATCCTCCTACTTTGCACCTAACACTTAACTTCTCTGAGCCTCTATTTCTTCACTAGTGTGGTGGGCAGAATTCTGAGAGGGCCTCAAGATTTCCCGTTCCCCTGGTACACCGGCCCTGCATAACCCCCAGGACTGTGAATACGACGGATGGTTAGATCATGTTACAGGGCACAACTGACCTTAAACGTGGGGGATTATCCGGGCCTGACCTGATATGAAAGCCCTTTTAAAACAGAGTTTGCAGGAAATGCCATTCTGGACATCGGCCTTGGGAAAGTATTTATGGCTAAGTCCTCAAAAGCAATTGCAACACAAAGAAAAATTCGCAAGTGGGCCTAATTAAACTAAAGAGCGTCTGCACAGCAAAAGAAACTATCAACAGAGGAAACAGACAACCTACAGAGTGGGAGAAAATATCCACAAACTGTGCATCCAACAAAGATCTAATATTCAGAATCTATAAGGAACCTAAACAATTCAACAAGCAAAAACCAGATAATCCCATTAAAAAGTAGGCCAAGGGCACAAATAGACACTCCTCTAAAGAAGACACACAAGTGGTCAACAAACATGAAAATCATGCTCAGCATCACTCATCATCAGAGAAATGCCAATCAAAACCACAATGAGATACCATCTCACACCAATCGGAATGTCTATTACTAAAAAGGCAAAAAGTCACAGATGTTGGCGAGACTGTGGAGAAAAGGGAATGCTTATATGCGGTTGGCAGGAATTAAGTTAGTTCAGCCGCTGTGGAAAGCAGCTTGGAACTGTCTCAAAGAACTGAAAACAGAACTACTGTTTGACCCTGCAGTTCCATGACCGCGTATATACCCAAATGAGCTAACAAAGGAAAATAAGTCGTTCTGCCAAAAAGACACATGAACTCGTCTGTTCACCCCAGCACTATTCACAGTAGCAAAGACATGGAATCAACCTATGTGCCCATCAATGGTGGATGAGGTAAAGAAAATGTGATGCATATATACCATGGAGTATTATGCCGTCATAAAAAAGAACAAAATCACGTCCTTGGTAGCAATATGGAGGCAACTGGAGGCCATTATCCTAAGAGAATTCATGTAGGAAGAGAAAATCAAAATCAGATACCATGTGTTCTTGCCTATAAGTAGGAACTAAACGGGCGCACATGGACATAAAGATGGGAATGACAGACACTAGTAACTAGTGGGTGGGGGAGAGAGAGGGAGGGACAAGGGCTGAAAAACTACCTGCTGGGTACTCTGCTCACTACCTGGGTGACAGGATCATTCTACCCCAAACCTCAGCATCACACAGTGTACCCAAAACTGCACACGTACCCCCAAATCTAATACGGATGTTGAAATTATGTTTTAAAAGTGGAGTTTTCTGTGGCTAAAAAATCACAGGAGAGGAAGTCAGAGAAGATTAGGATCTGGAGAAGGCTTCACCATACCCTCACCACCTTGAAGATGTTGAGTTGTGTGGAAAGGACTGGCCCACAGCTTCCAGTGGCTAAGAGCAACACCAGCTGATGACCAGCGAAAAACAGGACCTCAGTCCCACCATTGCAGGGAACTGAGTCACGCCAACACACTGAATGAGCCTGGAAAGCAGAATGTTCCCCAGAGCTTCCAGATGAGAACCCAGCCCACCAACACCTTGATTCAGCCTGGAGCAGAGAATCCAGCCACTCTCTACCAGACTTCTGCCCTAAAGATCCGTGAGCTAACAATGGGTCTTATTCTAAGTCACTAAATTGAAAGTAATTTGTTATGCAGTAAGAGAAAACTAATACAGCCTGGAAAAGTGACTCATATTCAGGCATGGTAGCAACGAAGTACAATAACAGACATAAAAGCACATTGTAGTCCCCAAATCACAAAATAAAACAGGACAATGGAGGTCTGTGTCAGGGCAGAGCTCAACAGTGATTCCCAAATGAAATACACAAATGAGGATCGGTCGGAGATTGTAAGGATCAAATAAGGAAATACAGAGGAAGGTGCTTTGTAAACTAGAAAGCCCAAGTTGTTTCAGTCAGTGGTGGCATGGCGTGTCACATTCACGCTGTGCTCTTTGGATGATGCTCTGGTTTGCCTTCTCCGGGCAGTGTAGTGGGATGGATGGGAATGTGGCTTCCAGGGCCAGGTATACCTGGGTTCAAATCCAGCCCTTCCATTTCTGACCTCTGAAGCTTTAGAAAGTTGCTTTGGTTTGCTGTGGCTAGCAAGGGAAGCTAAAAATGGTGAGTGCCTCCCAGGGTCCGTACTTTAACGACTCTGTACATGGAAAGGGGCTGGAACAACACCTGGCATGGCCCATGCAATTGCTCTGAATATTAGCTCAGAGTGGAACCCAATAATCTGGGTCTGGACCCTGCACACAGGCCTGGGGCACTGTCACCCTTCTCCTCTTGGGCATCACGCTTTTTATTCACACAGCCTCAGAATCGTGTTCGGTAACCAAATCACACTGCTGATTCCCACAGAGCATACATGTACCTGCTGCTATGAAACCCGGCCAGCCCCATCCTACACCCAGGGCAGCGTCACACCACCGCAGAGTGGAGAGCCTTGCACTGTGGCTCTCTCAGTCAGCTCCTGATTCTGCCGCCCAAACCAGCCCAACTTCTCACTACTCTGTGGGTTTCCATCCTCCTCAATCTGACCTCATGCCCTCCAGTAGATTGCAGTTATTAATCAAAATGGCTGTGCTCTCTTCCTCCCAGTGTGGAAACACTCACTTCTCAGAACATGCTATTCTACAAACACAATCCATGGTTTCCTCCCCTCTGAGCTTGGCTCAGTCTCTTCTGCACAGAACGCTACTCTCTCCCTCCGCAATCGTACCTACCTGGCTGAATCCTGCCCATCTTCCTCAGAAGGCTCAGCCAGCTCCCACAAAATTGGACCTAAGTTCTGCCTCCCCAGAATACCCAAAGTACATTTGCTGTGTCTCTCCTAATATAAATAACAGCATCCACTGTGCTCAGCCAGTGCTCTAAGCCCTTCTAGATTGCACACAGCTCAGGCAAGGTCAGTCTGACTCACTCCCTCACCCCGAGTGTGGCCGGCCACACACAGTCAGGGTGAAACAATTCTCCTTAGCGCCCAATATGGTCGTTCATTCATTTAACAGGTGTGCACTCAAATGCCTATTTTGGGTCGAGCCGGGCTGTAGGTGCCAGTGTTAATAGATGGCAAAGATTTAGTCCCTGTCTTCAAGGGGAGCATGGAGTAGGCGAAGTCAATTTTGATGGTGTCTGAATGTGTGAGAGAGAGAAAAAATAAAGAGGATATTTAAAACAAAGGGAGTTGTGTAAGAAGAGACAGAGGACCCCCAGATGGCCATAATGTTCAAGGAAATTGCATGCTGTCCACATGGCTGGAGGTGAGGGGCGGTGACAGTGGGAGGTGCTGGGCCGGGGCCGGAGCACGAGGGTTTGACAGATGAAGTGGCCTGGATGTGGTGGTGCTGTGGAGTGAGGTCATTTTCATCAGCGAGGTCATACAGCTGGGATGAGGGGTGTGGCTTGAGGAGAAAGGATCAGGTGGAAGGAGAGAGACTCTTTGGGCTGTAGGCGTGAGGCTGGTGTCACCGACTGCCCACAGTCTCCTCCCCTGTGGCAGGTCAGAGGGCCACCCACCACACTCGTGTCCCGGTCGCCAGAAAACGTCACACACCTAAGGGCCTAAATGGCAAACTGAGCCCATCTATCTCCCTCTCCTCCCTGCAATGTCCCTGAAATAAAAGGAGAAACGTACAAATAAGACCAGATCCACAGTAGCACCAGCTGGCCAGAAAGTTTGACAGAAAACAGACGAGTGGGAGCGACAGGAAATCTAGTCAGAGTGAAGCTGGCCTCACCTCGCTGGGCAGGGAGGGCCCACCTGCCAGGCACCCCAGGACTTGCTCAGAGCTCCTCCATGGCAGGGCAGGCTGGAGGGGGGTCCTGAAACACCCCCAAAAAGAGTGGGTCCTCTGAGTTTCCAAAGAGACAGAAGTGGGAGCTGGGCAGGGGGGTACTGGGAGCAGAAAGTACCTTCCCACACACCTTTCTGGCTTTAACTGCATGATTTTAGTATCCCAGGAGCCTCTATCTCTGGCAAATGGCTTGACTGTTCATCACAGAAACCCCCTGAAGGACCCATCTACTCTACAATCAACAGCTGGTGCTCTAGGATTCTTTGAACCCCTTGCCTGGGCTCAAAACTCCTCACCTCATGGCTTCCACGAGTCCCAGACTACTGTGTTCCTTATACAACCCTAACCAAGCCCTCACACTGACATGCCCATCTTAAAGGAAACTTCCAGTCTTCAGAAAACCCAGCCTTGCCTCCCTCCTCCCAGACATGCCAAAGCTCCCTGAAATTGCTGGCCTCCCTTCACCAAGTGAATAATAAACTCAGCTTTGCCTTACCAACAAGTTGTGTTGATGATATCTGGGGAGCTGGGATTTGACAGTCTTTACAAAAATGCTGGGAATCAGAGTGACATTCAACTTGATATCTGCATCATTTACAACAGGGCAAAGATTTCCCAGCTTGGAGGAAAAGGGGTTAAACCCTTAGCTCCGTTACTCAGCCAAGTCTCAAAGCCAGAGAGAAGTACTAAAATAGTGTGCCACCCACCACCCACACATCTTTTCTTAAAAAAAAAATTACTCAAGGAATTACTCCAAGGAAATAAGAATTGTACCAGAGTAAGTAATTCAAAAAAGGACAAGACAGGATATACAAGAAACAGGGAGAAATAATAAAAGCAGAACAACGTGAAGTCAAGTCTCAACAAATGTTGATAATCACGATTCTATCTTGTTGGGAATTAGACACCATTTGATTCTTGACACGAATAGAGAAATTTGTGTAAAA